GAACACGTATATCTATCACAGAAAAATGAATGGTATATATACCAAAACGAAAAGAAAAGGGAAAAAATGTAATATATGTTTACATTTTTGACTCAAAAAAGAAAAAGAGAAGAAAAGGGAAAAAATGTGATTACGTATCACATTTTTAATAAAACATGCATAGAAAGAGTGATGACTTGAGTCATCGCTAACAAATTGTTTTAAACAACTGTTAGATCTCTTCTTTAGTTAAATAGTTTATTTGATAGGTAACAAGTTTAACGACTAACTAATTCACACACATCCTAACGTAAAACATAATCTCTCTCTCTCTATATATATAGACTAGCTGGATATTTCCCATATCATATTATGAAAAAATACCTGAGTTATATATATAAGAATCTTAACTAGGAAAATACCAAAAGAAACATATCGAGGACACGCAACAGAACGAAAGAAAATTACATACATAGAAAAGAAAAAAAGAATATATATCTGGGATAATTCCTTGTAAATGTAATAAGAAATATTCCATAACAACAACGACTTCGGAAGAAGAATATCGAAACTATTCAAAGAAAACACATTATCATTATGAATTTGTTTTATGTTGTATTCATCGAAATAGATTAAATAGTATAGAAAATTGTGGGAGACATAACGTCCTCTCACTTTTATCTCATTCTTATTTGTTACTGGACAAATAAACTAAAACATAGAAACGAATTCATCAGATTTTTTTTGTTATTTTTCATTCATGCTCTAAAAAATTCATTGTAAAAAAACTCAGTCCGATTCAGAAACATCTTTAGTTTGTTGATGAAAACCAAATCAATACTTTCGAACACTAAAAGCATTATGAAAAGCCTATATTGCAGCAGAAATTGACTTGAAGCCCAAAGAAATATGTAAAGCTATCTTTTCAAGTTCTACAATATTTCCTTAGAAGTTTAACGAGTTTCTTAATTTTCTAAACCTCATATAGTATAATTGAAAGTTTTTGTCTGATTCAATGAAAAAAATTATTTATTCGAAAAGAAAACTTATTTCGACAGTATTACTACTAATGGTTCATATTAGTAGTCTATAGCATATTCAATTAATTGTTCTTTTCTTGATGCTGCAAACAAAACAAGCAATTTAACGACACCGACCAGAGATGGGCAAGTCAAGTCATTTTTTGACTAGACTTGACTTGAACTTAAGCCATAAACTCAAGTCAAGTCAAAAAGCATATATGTAGAGGTTTCAATGTTTTTTTGTTTTGTATTTCACTAGTCTTGTTACGAAATCAGAATGTAAAAGATAAATATAATTAAAAATGAGAGTTTTGCTAAAAATTAATTCTAAATAAAAGGAAATTTGTATTCCAAAGTTCCATTCAATAGAAGGATTTTTTATAATGAGTTTTGACTTGAAACATGACTTGACTTGACTTGACTTAAAATATATGTGACTTGACTTGAACAGGTTTGCGACTTGACTTGACTTGAACAGGTTTGCCACTTGATTTGACTTGAACAGGTTTGTGACTTGACTTGTGAAAACGTCTGACTTGCCCATCTCTGACACCGACCATTATAACATCGGCTCTCAAATAATTCTAATTAGGTCGCATGTGGATGTGAGTCGATGTTCTGTTTATTCACCCACCCGCAAGATGGTTAATGTTAGTTTTTTTCGAAATATATATTATTATATTTACAATTGTCTTACTCTTGGGGTTCGGTTTATAGGCGATCGTTCAAGTACATGATTTTTCCATTTGATAAAAAGTGTCTTAGAATCTTTTCGAAATGCTTTTGATACAGCAAAATATGTATAAAAACGAGAACCATAAGTAATAGAAAAAAGTGTTAATGCAATAGAATTAAGAAAATTTTCAATTTCAATACGTTGACTAGATTTAATAACACCTATATAATTTGTTACTGCAACTTCTAGAACAATAAATGGATATGGGATTGCTGTCACAACATAAATAACAACTTCAGTTAACACCATCAATAATAGGTCTCGATCACGACGATGAGTTATAATACTATCATCACCATTATTACCAATTGGTCGAACACGTAAATGTAATTTTTTCATATTATGATAAGCTAAAAAACCAAATATACTCATTAATATTGGTGGAAGTAGACCAAGAAACGTTGCAGCGTATACTTGATAAATAACATAATAAACCCCAAATGAAGAACATATTCCATTAGTAATTGTTACTAAAACAGCTATATGAATAGAAAAAATATGCCAAAACAAAAATAAAATTATTGTAAAACAACGAGAAGTTGATGGTCGATTTATAAGTCTTCCATGAGCATTATTTGCTGTCCAAATATATCTATCAATACATGCAAGTACAGTAAGATATCGACCTGTTTGATTCCAAATATGTGTAATATATGCACGAAATTTACATAAGAAAAGGGAGTGAACTGTTGGATCACTATAATTAAGCCCATAAAGATTTATTACACTATTGAATGTAAGTGTCGCACTTTGTACAATTGCTGCACATAATAAATACATTGCACATGAATTTTGACGACGCCGATAAAATAAAATTATAAAAATAATATTTCCAATATTACCTAAAATCATCAAAGTAGACATTCCATAAAGAGTAATTTGAGCTTGTATCAATGGTAATATCGTAACTGCCATTATTCTTGAAAACAATATGTTTCTTCTATTTTGTAATTATGAACGAGAATCAAGATTTTTTTATATTATTCACTTTCTCATCTTTTTTTATGAACTATGAGCAAAATATAATTACGTCTGTTCTTCCTTTTATGACATACATTATTAAATAACGCAGATCAATTTCATCAAAAGCATATCTTATGTTTTTGATGTCAAAATTTTTCTAGATTCTTCAGTAAAACAAAACCTAGATGTAAAATATGATAATATCATTACTTGTTACGAGGTTTCAAATTTTATATATGAGTTATTTAATCATTAGAGTTTATAGTATAGAATGTATTTATTTCCAACTTCAACTGACAAATGACTACACCTAATAAATTTTTATCAAATATTCAACAGTATTTCTGTTCCTGTATTGCTCTCAAGTGATACACTTCCCCTGTTCTTTCTAATATCATCGAATGATATTATTTTAATCTTTTAGTGATGTTTTCTTAGTGTTATATAAACTATATTGTAATTTCATCCAGACTGTAGAATTAAAATGACATTGTTTTTCTCTTATATTTCATTTGTCTCTAGTATTCAACAGTTACATAAACTTGTCAATACTAAATTTATTAATTAACGGTATTTTTTGTTCATTTAAATCATTTTATATAATGTGCAAAAACAAAAAAAACAATTCATATATAATTTCGTTGAATTTAATAGTATTGCATATGTAAATGATACATACTATCACACTCAATCACCCTTGTTTGTATCTCTACATTATAAAATAGAAAGTAAGATGTAAAGATTAGAATAAGATATTTGAGGAGTTCTAATTCATATTGCACGTTGGGCTAATATTTCCTTCAAAATAAAATATTCACATTGCTGCACATATCGATTTTCTGTGGGAAATAAAGGATTTACTATATATTTAAAATTCAATAAATAGATAAACTTGCTTAAATCTTCAGGGTAAATGTGGGTTCACATAAAGGTAAGCTGAAGAGATGAATGTAACACTCACGCTCCAGAATCGCGTCAGGCGTTTATAATGTCCACGAAGAATAAATTTTGAGAAAGTTTCAAAACGATAAACATTATTTCAATTTCGCTTGTCAATTAGATATGACCCAAACTCAACTTGTTTGAATCTTTTTTCAATTGTCATCTATGCATCCAAAATAATTTATTCTATATATAAAAATAAGTAGAAAAAGACTTGTGTTATATATATATTTATGTAACCAATGCAATGTGAAATATCAATCGTTAATCAAGTTTGAATCTTTAGCCTAGAGGGGTGCGTGAATAAAGATATAACTTGTATCAACATTTTATACATATATACCTGAACAGTTATCCATTTACGTATACTCTTTTATCAGTACATGTATTGATACATGAATACTTCTATTGATACATGTACCCACATATATACCTCTAAAGAACCTAGAATTGATTTATCAATACATGTATCAGTACAAATTGTATCTGTATTCACGCATCTATGAAGAAAAGAGATGTTTCACTTCTTGAACACACAATATAAAAAGCCTCTGAAATAAAATATTTTTGTTGAGATTTTTTTAGGTAATAAAAAAGTAATTATTAGTTATAATGGCTACAGGTAAATTATTAAATGAAGGACGACCAGATCTTCTTTCAAACAAAGAAGATATTCAGTTGATTTGGCTTGATGGAAATATGACTGATTCTGATGATTATCTTCTCACTCAATCAATGTTAATTCAACTCAATCCAGCTGTTCAGTTTTATTCTCATTTTCATCGATGTCTCGATTTTATCAAATCAATCAAAGACGAACAAATCTTTCTTATTGTTTCAGGTGCTTTTGTACAACGTATTCTTTTACAAACTCATCGTTGTCGATCTTTGATTGCTATATTTATCTTTTGTTCAAACCATCAACGTTATAAACCATTAATGAAAGAATATAATAAAATTACTGGAATATTTACTAAACAACATGATTTATTAGAAGCAATCAAAGAAAAAATGAATTTTGTTGAAAAACAAACATTATCATTTAGTCTTTTTGATCAAAAACAAAAATCAATGAAAGATTTATCGCAAGAATCAGCATCATTTCTATTACATCAAATGTTAGTTTATATTCTAAAACAAATGTCACAAGATCAACAATCAAAAAAACAAATGCTTAATATGTGCCGTGATTATTACAATCAGAATAAACAAGAACTAAAGAAGATTGAAGAATTTCAAAATACTTATACTCATGACAAAGCAATTGAATGGTACACAGATGAATGTTTTCTTTATAAACTACTAAATAAAGCACTTCGAACTGAAGATATTGAATTACTCTTTACTTTTCGATTCTTTATTATTGATTTATGTTCAGTTATTGAGCAAGAAAATCAACTTTTGAAAAAGCAAGGAACATTAACTTTATATCGTGGAACAAAAATTCCAAATGAAGAATTAAAAAAAATAAAAGAAAATATTGGTAAAACTATTTCAACAAATGGATTTTTATCAACATCACGAAATATCAATGTATCACTTGGATTTATTCATAACAATCCTCCATTAAATGATTTTACATCAGTTCTATTTGAAATTAAAACAAATTCATTATTGAAAACAGTGATTTTTACTGATGTTGGAAATAAAAGTCGAATAGAGGGTGAAGAAGAAGTTCTTTTTAATCTCAATTCACTCTTTAAGATTGTTTCTGTCTGTTTTGATCCTAAACTTAATATATGGAAGGTACTACTAAATGCAACTGATGAAGGTGCAGAAAAAGTAGACGAATATCTTGCATTTTCGAAACAACAAATGGAAGAATATTCACCACTTATTTATTTTGGCCGACTTCTCTTGAATGAACTAGGTCAAGTAGATCGTGCAGGAAAATATTTTAATATGCTATTGAAATCACTTCCAGATGATCATCCTGATCTTGCAGCTGTTTATAATCATATTGGTATAGTACATAATAGGAGAAAAGAATTGAATTTGGCATTGAAAAACTTCGAGATAGCTTATGAGATCCGTCAAAAACAACTACCTTCAAATCATCCTCACATTGCTGGCTCACTCAATAATATTGGTCTTATTTATAATGGGAAAGGTGATTTTAATACAGCACTCGATTATTATCAACAGGCTTTGAGAGTTTACGACGACTTATATCCTGGTAATAATCTACAAAAAGCAGGCACAATTAGAAATATTGGGGTAGTATACAAGGATAAAGAAGATTTCGATACGGCTCTTACTTATCTGTCTCGTGCTCTCGAGATGTATAAACATGTTCTCCCTCATCAACACTCTGAGATAGCACGATGTCTCGGTTCAATAGGATATACTTATCAGAAGAAAGGTAATTTAGATATTGCTCTCGATTATTATCAACAACGATTAAATATGGACGAACAATGTTTACCTTTCGACCACTCAGATCTTTCATTTGATCTCGATTTGATCATTGATACTTATAAAAAAATGAATGAAATTGACAAAGCCTTACACTTGTGTCAACAAAAGCTTGTTATTGAAAAAATTAGATTGCCTGAAAATCATCCTCGTATTGCTCGAATATTAATGATCATGGCTGATTTAATTAAGGACGACAATCACAATGAAGCATTACAATACTATGAACAAGCTCTATCTGTATTGGAGAATTGCACACCATTAGATCATCAACTCACTTCTCAATGTTTGACATCAATGGCTCGTTTATATTCCAATTATGATATGATGGAAGATGCATTACGATGTGACCTTAAAGCGCTTGAAATTGATTCTCAAACGTTGTCTTCTGATCACATTTACATCGCAAACAGTTTAAGAAACATTGGCCTAGATTATAAAAAAATGAACAACTTATCTGAAGCACTTCGTTATTTCAATGAAAGTCTTTCAATCTATCAAGTTAATTATGGACCAAAACATGAGATGGTGAAGAGATGTGAAGCAGACATTGCCACATTGAAGAACAATAAAAAAAATTCAAGCAATAAGAAATAGTCTACAGTCGTTGACAGTAGAGCATGTTTAATTCAATGATCAATGCTTTAGTTTTTTTATCGATTCTGTTTTCTTTATTAAAAGAATGAGCAGTTTTATGTAAAACTTGTTGTATTTGATCAGTATTACGCAAAATAAAATAAGAAATAAGAAAATAAATTTTTTTTTGAAAGGAAAGTTGTAGTAATAATAGTAGAAATATTCACATGGCTTTGTCTTCACATCCGCGGATCCGCGAAGAGATAGTAAATATAAAAATATATGTAAATGTATGATATTCAACAATATTACCATCTTTACACAACTCATACATTTTAGATGAGAAACACAATATATCGTTAAGGTAACAAATGAAATAATATATTCTTATTAATAGAACTCTACAAATACTATTTCATTAATATCAGACTCCAACAAATGATAGTTCAAATAAAATTAATTTAAACAATATTCCATTTTTATTGCGTAATTCAATTTTATTGGCGAAAATTCTATCATAGATAAATAAATAAATGTATTGATAAGCAGACATTAATACAGATGAAAGTTAGAATAAAATAATAATCAAGTCTCTCTTCTTTTAAATAATCTTATTTTAAATAATTTAAAGATCATCACCATCATTTTTAGGTATTCGTATCTGTTCATACTCATTTTTCTCTGTATTATATTTTGATTGATTGTTTTATTCAGCATACGTTGTTTTCTACTCATGAATAGCCTAATATCGATAGCGAAAGTAAGAAAAACGCTCAAATGTGAACAATGTGAGAAGTGTAGAGTAGAAAATTAAAAAGCCAGATACGATTATTATTGTTTATACGTTTGAGATTGTAGGCATTACAATGATAAGTCATTTATGACTGTTAGACACATCTAAATTATAAAACTTATTTTTATACCAAACATCTTTTATTGTCATGAGAATAGTTCAAGAACGATTTACAGTGTTTGATTTTATTATATAAAACAAACTAATAACGATATACAAAAACTTATTTTTATTTTCTTTCTATCCAATATGAAATATAATCTTCCGATATAAATCGTTGGATATCGATAATACATAAAGATTCAGTTATGTTTATTATTTCATCAATAGTCTTAACATCAGGTATTTTTTCTTCTTTTTCAATAAAATCAAAACGTAAACATTGAAGTTGATGTTGATTAATATGAATAAAAATGAATTCAATCCATTTATTAATATTGACCCATGACGATGAGATATATTTGCAATTAATAAAACGTAAATACTTCAAATTAGGAAAACGTTGCTTATTAATAATGAATGATAGAAGTGGTAGTATAATTTCTTCATTTTGATTCATGTTGATAAGTGGTTCACAATCAATATATAATCGATCAAGACGTCCAAGAAAAGTGTTCAAAAATTGTTGTCTGTTATCATCACTTGTAAACCAATGTTTTAGTTCAGTTGAGTTGACGTAAAGACATTTTACATTTGGTAATAAACGAAACCAAGCAACTGATTCTAAAATTAAATGTATATCACTTTATAACTATTATAAATAAATTATATACGAAAACACTTGACAGAATGAAAAAATGATTTTAATTCTTTTCATCTTCTGATCCATATGGATGATTTCATTTTTAATTAACTGATACAAGATGAAACAAATCTGAACATACGTGTAAAATCATAAGAACTGTTGAAGTAAAAGGAACTATTCAATTGTAGTGTACTGAAATGTGTCAACTGTAGGTGATCATGTATATTGTCTGGTAATATTCCTCTTTCGCATGATATTACCAATACTTTATCTAGAACAACAATATAATTACATTAAAAAACGTGTTTTCAGTCATAATCATATTAAATTACCTTGACTGTATGGACATTGAAGTGCATGAAGAAAAGAAATTGGTATTTTTTGATCTTTAGTGAACAAGATAAACAACCATATTGCACCATACCATAGAGGTGCAAGTGCTATAGATAAACTATTTTGTATTTGTTTCTCTTGTTCGATGTTGTTGAATAATACATCGATGAGATCGATTGTATTAAATAGAGTATTGTCGGTAAATGTATATGGAAGAGAACACATTTGTACACACTGATGTATTTGATTATAATTGACACACGCTTGTATACAACCCAAAGGTCCATCGAGTCAAAAAGGTTTGCGAAAAGCTTGAATGAAATCGGATAATATTCGATAAGTTGGTTCTTCCATAAATGGAATTTGAATAGCAAAATGAATCGATTTCAAACGAGATAATTTATTGCAAAGACTAGCTAGACGATAACCATTGAAACACATATCAATGTCGCCATTACAATAATGACTTAAATACAAAGAAAATTTCTCTAATGTATTAACAAATTTATCGATTAACTGCTCAAGACAACTGCAGTCTTGTCCTTCAATTATAAAATGCCTTTAAAGAAAATCAATTTCATTAAAAAAAGACAATATTTAAAATATCAAAAAGTTTTACCTCAAATTGATTACTCGAAGATTTCGTGGATAATTTAATTTTTGATTCTCAGTATTATTTGAATGACAAATACTGCTAATATACACATCTTTAAATAAAATTAATTTATAAATATTTTCATCGTAACTCATATAATTAATATTTATTACCTAAATGTTCAAGTTGAGGAAGATAATGAAGAAGTGTATGAAGTGTAGATAAGTTAAGAATATTAATTGTCAAATAGATGAGAGAAGAATGAGGAACATAAGTATTAATAAGTGTATGTTCGTATTTGAGTTCAAAACCGTTTTCACATGGTGGAGTGCTTAGTTTGTAACTAACAAGATTAATTGAACGTCGAAATAACCAATCGAAAAAAGTTTTTGAATGATGAGTTTGTTTACGGCATGAATTCCAAGCAAATGTACGCAACAATGATCCATTAGCCACAATAAATAATAAAGCGTCTCGATAAACATCACTAATAGGTATCGGTTGGAAAACTATGAAAGATATCAATTGAGGAAATATCGGTTGTATGTCCTTGTTATTTGTTATTAAGATCTGAAAGATATCTTCCGGTGCGTTATGACATGATTTTTCTCTCTTTGTAAAATGATTTGCGACAAATGATTTTATCACTTCCTTGGCCAACATATTCGTTTGAGAACATCGATAACGATTACCTAATTTAAGAACAGTAAGGTTGAGACGCCATTCAATCATAGTTGGTACTTGACGGCAAAAAAAACGACAAGCTGATAACGAACAATAACGTAAATCTAGCTGTTTGTAGAGTCCACAAAATTGTAATAGCAAGGAATTAATACGACTATTAAGATTGAAGAAACTGTACATAACATCAGCGGCCACTAATTGATCCCAAACACAGAGGATTAAATCGTTTGATATGTCTTCAAATTGTAGCATTTTAAAGAATGACTGAGCAGTATATTTCTATATATAATCTTCGAATGTTGAACAAATAATTTTATCAATTGAGAATCTGTCTTACTTTTCTATCCGACCGACTCAAATAAAACAAAGGCGATGAACTGTGGCCACTCGTAAACGAGAAGTGCAGCGTCATCTTGAATCAAAAGTTATTATAAAAAATAGTAGATATATACATATGGCTTTCTTTTGACATTCGCGGTTTAGCGAAGAGATGACAACTATGAAAATACATGTGACTCTAAACAAGTCTTTTATATTTTCAATTTTTGACTAAAACATCAATGTTACCACGTTATTATCTCTATATAATTCATGCATTTTAGATGAGAAACACAATATGTCATTTACATAGCAAATGAAATAATATTCTATTTTTCTTGCATAATTCAATTTTATTGACAAAAATTCTGTCATAGATAAATAAATAAATAAATGTATTGATAAGCAGACAATAGTACAGATGAAATTTAGTATAGAATAATAATCAAGTCTCTTTTCTTTTAAAAACTTATAATCTTGTTTTAAATAATCTAAAAATCATCACCATTTAATTTAGCTACTGGTACATCATTATTCTTATTAACTGAATCAAATACTGTTGTCATATCATGTTTCACTTTATCATTTTCATCTTCATTTGCATTTTTATTACTATTAATTCCCGCTACCTTTCGAAATGCAGACTACATAAAATGCATCATATCATTCCTTTGCTGTATTGCAGCGAATTCTTGTTTAACATGTGCAGATGAATTATTTAAATTACAGAAAATAAATTAAATATATCAAAACTAGCAACTTTTCTTATCTTTTTGTGAGAGAACTGTCTTCGTTGGCTGTAATGAAAATAAAAGATTATTCAAGATACGATTTATACAAAAGTGTAGTTGATCTTGGGGATGAGGTGGAGAGATAAATGTAACACTCACTCTCAACAACATATGAAAATTGTATCAAATATTTATAATGTTTGCGATAAGCATAAATTTTAAGAAAGCTTCAGTACTATAAAAATTAGTTCTATTTCGCTTCTCGAATAGGTATGATCTTAATCCAAATTGTTTGAGTCATTTTCAATTGGTATCTATATGTAAAAGCAAGTAGAAAAGACTTATTTTTCATATATGTATATGTAACTAATGCAAAGTGAAACATCAATTGTTAATCAAGTTCGAATCTTTAATCTTAACTCAAACAGAAACTCATTCAATGAAGCTCATCAGAACCAAACTATTTGGGTGCGGTTCATACCTAGTGACAAAGACTATATAGTCTGACCAGCGTATGAAAATATGCAATAAAATAGCTAATGTTTATTATTTCTAAAAATATCTATATAATATAGATGCATGACTGTGAGCCTATACATTCGTCACACGTTAGCGGAAGGTATTTCTTTACTAAATCTGTGCTGAATAATCAAACATATCACTCAAATGAGAAAAAAACACAACCGAAAACACTATTTCATTCCCCGAAAAAGCAACAGTGCGACATTCACTTTCACAAAACAACTCGAAGCACTTTCAACATGACATTACTATCAGCTTTATCTATCAGATAATGTTGAAAAAAAGGTAGGAAGATAACAAATGTTTTGCTTCTACAACATACAAGATATAAAAAGCCTCAGAAGTAAAATATTTATGTTGAGAATTTTTTCAAGGTAATAATAAAGTAATTATCCATTTTAATGGCCACTAGTGAATCCTTAAATGACAGACGACAAAATCTTCTTCCAAACGAAGTTTCAAAAAACAAAGAAGACATTCAGTTGATTTGGCTTGATGGAAATATGAATGATTCACATGATTATCTTCTCACTCAATCAATGTTAATCGAACTTAATTCAGCTGTTCAGTTTTATTCTCATTTTCATCGATGTCTCGATTTTATCAAATCAATCAAACATGAACAAATCTTTCTTATTGTTTCTGGTGCTTTTGCTCAACAAATACTTTTACAAAGTCATCGTTATCGACCTTTGGTTGCTATATTTATTTTTTGTTCTAATCATCAACAGCATATACCATTGATGAAAGAATATAATAAAATTACTGGAATATTTACTAAACAACATGATTTATTAGAAGCAATCAAAGAAAAAATGAATTTTGTTGAAAAACAAATATTATCATTTAGTCTTTTTGATCAAAAACAAAAATCAATGAAAGATTTATCACAAGAATCAGCATCGTTTCTATTACATCAAATGCTAATTTATGTTTTAAAACAAATGTCACAAGATGAACAATCAAAAACTCAAATGCTCAATATGTGTCGTGATTATTATAAGCAGAATAAACAGGAATTAAAGAAGATTGAAGAATTTCAAAATACTTATACTCATGACAAAGCAATAGAATGGTACACAGATGAATGTTTTCTTTATAAACTATTGAATAAAGCACTTCGAACTGAAGATATTGAATTACTCTTTAATTTCCGATTTTTTATTATCGATTTATGTTCAGTTATTGAACAAGAAAATCAACTTTTGAAAAATAAAGGAACATTAACTTTGTATCGTGGAACACAAATGTTAAAAGAAGAGTTTGAAAAAATAAAAGAAAACATTGGTAAAACTATCTCAACAAATGGATTTTTATCAACATCAAGAAATATCAATGTATCACTTGCATTTATTGACATCAATTCTGAATCAAATGATTTTGCATCAGTTTTATTTGACATTAAAGCAGATCCATTATTGAAAACAGTGATTTTTGCTGATGTTGGAGATATAAGTCGCATGAAAGATGAAGAAGAAGTTCTTTTTAATCTCAATTCACTCTTTAAGATTGTTTCTGTTTGTTTTGATCCCGAACTTACTGTATGGAAAGTACAACTGATTGCAACTGATGAAGGTGCAGAAAAAGTAGAAGAATATCTTTTATTATCGAAAAAAAAGATGGAAGAATTGTCACCACTTATTTATTTTGGTAGCCTTCTCATGAATGAATTAGGTCAAGTAGATCGTGCTGGAAAATATTTTAATATGTTATTGAAATCACTTTCACAGGATCATCCTGATATTGCAGCTGTCTATAATAATATTGGTATAGTACATTATAAGAGAAATGAATATAATTTGGCATTGAAAAACTTCGAGATAACTTATGAGATGCGTCGAAAACAACTACCTTCAGATCATCCTCACATTGCTAGTTCACTCAACAATATTGGTAATATTTATAGCGACAAAGGTGATTTCAATGCAGCACTCGATTATTTGAAACAGGCTTTGACAGCTTACGACAACTGTTATCCTGGTAATAATCTACAAAAAGCAATGACAATCGAGTGTATTGGAAGGGTATACACGGATAAAGAAGATTTCGACTCGGCTCTTACTTATTTATTTCGTGCTCTTGACATGTATAAACATGTTCTCCCTGATCAACACTCTCAGACAGCAATATGTCTTGGTACAATAGGATCTACTCATGAGAAGAAAGGTAATTTAGATATTGCTCTGGATTATTATCAACAACAATTAAATATGGAAGAACAATTTTTACCCTTCGACCATTCAGATCTTTCAATTCATCTTGGCTGGATCATTGGTATTTATAAAAAGATGAATGAAATTGACAAAGCTTTAGACTTGTGTCAACAAAAACTTCTTATTCAAAAAGCGAGATTGGGTGAAAATCATCCTCGTACTGCTCGAACATTAATGATCATGGCTTATTTAATTGAGGACGATAATCGAAACGGAGGATTAAAATACTATAAACAAGCTCTATCTGTATTGGAGAAATTCACACCATCTGATTATCAACTCACTTCTCAATGTTTGACATCAATGGCTTGTTTATATTCCAATTATGATATGATGGAAGATGCACTACGATATCAACTGAAAGCACTTGAAATTGATCGCCAAACATTGTCTTCTGATCACACTAACATCGCAAACAGCTTAAGAAATATTGGCCTATGTTATGAAAAAATGAACAACTTATCTGACGCACTTCGTTATTACAATGAAAGTCTTTCAATTTATCGAGCTAATTATGGACCAAAACATGAAATGGTGAAGAGAGGTGAAGCAGACATCGCCAGATTGAAAGAGAAACAATTGTCACTCTCATCTCATCAAGAAGAAGAAAAAGAAGAAGTAGGAGAAGAAAATTCAAGCAATATGAACTCGACTATTGTCGTTAAAAGCAGAGCATGTGCTATTCTTTGATCAATGATCTACTTTTTCATCGATTCTGTTGACTTTGTCAAAAGAATGAACAGTTTTATGTAAAATTTGTTGTGTTTGATCAATATTATGCAAAATAAAAAAAGAAATAAGAAAATAGATTCTTTTTGAAAAGAAAAGTAGTAGTAATAATAGTAGAAATGTACATAGATGTTTGTCTTGACATCCACAGATCAGTAAAGATTTGGCGAATATAAAAATATGTATAAATGCGTGATATTCAACAATATTATCTCTACACAACCGTACATTTTAGATGAGAAACACAGTATATTATTAAGATAACAAATGAAATAATATTTTCTTATCGATAGAACTATATTAATACTATTTCATTCATATTAGTCTTCAGTAATCATTCAAAGATAATAGATATTCGAATCATCTGTTTTTGTGCATTCTTCTCTACGTCTCTCTAACCATTGTCATCGTATACCCTGCTTTAAACACATTTTTTGTAAATGATTATAAAAAAACGTTTTATTTGTGGTAAAGAAAATGACTCTTATATTCATTCATGAAACAACCGGTGTAACTTTTCAGAAAAATCTTTCGCAACATATGTTGATACTTTGCTTTTTACCAAGAAAGTCATCTTCAAAAAGAAAAAAAGTATTTTGGGTATATATAAATATTAAACTGATGTTTTCTTTTCTATCATTCGTGGCAAAACAAAGGCTATTATGCAAAACGATTAGCCACCTAAAGAACAATACGTCATGCGACTTTAACCATTGTCATTGACGAAAAAATCAGTATAGAAAACCATATTTATGAAATGCTTTACTGAAGCAATAATCAAGCTAATCTTAATTTATTTAAATCATTAAGAATGATTGAAATATATAAGATTTTTCTTTATCATAAGGTATCAAAATGAGAAATCGATTTTAATTTGTCTACATATATATATAATCTCAAAATCTTAATTGAAAAAAAGCATTTAAATCAAGCATATTCCTTTATTCTTTCTGTTTCCAATCATTACTGATGTAACAAAAATATAGTATAATCTTCAATGTTATTCTGTTACTATAGAAAATATATGAGCTATAAGAAAAGTCTTTCATACGTCTCTAATCAGTACTGCCCTCTATCAAAATATATGTATTCATGACAACTAAATACTCATATTCTCAGTTATGGTGGTAAATTGTCATATCACTTCTTCTAATGCCTGAAAAGTAAGTGAATACTAAAATTGAACATTTATAAATTTATGTATTTAATAGAATAAGATCACGTCCATCTAGTGCGAATCGTGAACAACGACAAACTCAACGTCGTTCTAGTTTAAATACTGATCCAATAATATTTACTTCTAATTCGGTAACATCTACAAATGGTAAAATTTATTCTGGTATTGATTTACGTACACCAAAAGAAAAACTTGAAGATTTAGAAAAAGAAATACTTGAATCAACCGATAAATCTACTGTATAATTTAAAAACATTTCTTTCTTTAATTTTTTTTTGTCTTTCTTTTAGCCTGAACAATATCTTAATCAAGTTGTTCTTGCACAAATCTATACAAATCTTGAATATGGCGATATATCAATTGAAAATGCTCGAGCATATTTAAATCTAAGTGAATTTTATTTTAATCGAAATAAAATTTTTTTACCACAAGCAAAATTTCATGCACTTAATGCTCGACAAATTCTTGAACAATTAAAAATTAAACCTAGTAATGATAATTTAATAGAAAATCTTCTTGCTTATGATATTTATTTAATGTTAATTAAATGTTCATTAAATGCTAAACGAGAAATGAAAACAACTAAAAATAAACATATTTTATCAATTGATAAAACACATATTAATCATGATATAAAATTACTTGAATTATATTTAGAAAAATTAAAAGAATTAACTAATAAAAATGATTATGATCAAATGAATATGAAATATTTATTTCTTAAATATGATACAATTGTTAATAATACGAAAGAATTTGTTAAATCAATAGGAATAATAATTGAACAAATAATAGATTATATTGAAAAATATTTTACACATGATCAAATTAAAAGAAAAATTGATTTCTATTTACGTTGTGGATTATATTTTATTAATTATGAAGATAAAATTCAAGATGGACTAAGATATTATAAAAAAGCAATTGAACTAGCAGAACAAGAAGAAAAAACTCAACCATCAAATGCACATAAATATCAACTTGCTAAAACAATTTTAGAGAGAAATATTGCAAAACTAAGAGTAGATCATTTAACAGGTATTAAATTATAGATCTTATCTTTTTCTTAATTAATATTCTATTGTATTGTAGATGATATGGAAAAAGAATTTCAACGTGCAATTCAATTATACACACAACCCACTAAGGAAATAACTAAGAATGTGTTAAAAGTTATTGATGAATTAGCAATTTTTTATACTAAAATGGGAAAATATCAGGTTTGTTTATTCTTCGAAAGGACTTAAATCGAAGCGATCTATCAAATTCACACGAGAATATCTAGTCTAAAATATTAATCAGACATCTTGACAAATAGTTAAATCTTTTTTATATTTAATTTGTTTGTAGGATGCATTGAATATACTTTGTGAAAGTTTACCAGATAAAAGTCGATTGTTTGGTGAATTTTCTGAAGAAGTTATACAAACTGAATCACATATTGGTGCAATTTATTTACGAGAAGGTGAATGTCTCAATGCTGCTGAACATTTACAAGCTGTATGAAAAGATTTTCTTTTTTTGCTCGTTGATAAAACGAACTTGTCTATTATAGTGTCTTGATTTACAAGAATTTGTTTATGGTACAAATGATTCACGAACATCTCAAACACGAAATTCAGTTGAATTATTAAAAAAGTCATTTTTTTATGATTAGTTTTTTATAATATAATTTAATTTTGTTTTTATTATTTTATAGAGACCCTATGGTTTCTCGAACATTCTTTGCTCGAACACATGATGGTAAACGTCAAGATCGTCCAGCATTTCGAACTACAAATAAAGTTTCTCATGACAAACAAGATCTTCAATTATTTCAAACAGTTACTAAAAAACCACCAACTAGTTCAAAAATTTAACTTATCTGTATTTTACAATATTGTATAAAAAAACAAGGACGACTACTTTTATCATAGTTCTTATTGAATATCAATAAACTATTGAACAGAATATCTTGATTTGATTTATACAGTTGTCTTCTTCTTAAAAACAGATACACATATTAAGAAAAACAAGTGAACTCAATTCTATTTTCAATCGAATATTATTTTTAATGCTTGCTGTGAATTTTAGTTGAATAAGACATAATTTAGGATCATAATGTTCGTTACTTCTTGTTATATCAATTCCATATGTATTTAACTTTTTTTTCCCCACCAGTAATATTAGAATATGCCAACGGAAATACATTTTATTTTTTTAAGCAATACACAAGTAATAGTTAATTGAGTACACTCTACATATATAAAGTATCTAATAATTTTCAAGAAACAAAATATCTTAACTTTGAATTAAATAAAAAAACTGAGTGAATCATAAGCTAGAAAAGAAGAACAAATAATGCAAATAACAATAAACATCAGGTGAACTTATTCAACCATGATATAAAATAAGATATATATTTCATAAGATATATGTACTAAGAACTAATGTATATATTTGATATATACGAGAAAATTTAACACAACCAAAGTATATTATTTATAAAACGTTTCATTTGATCAATGTTGATGACCAAGTTCATTGTAATGGTCTATATCCAATAAATCTCTTGTTGCACGTTCATAAGTTTGAATGTCAGTTAGATTACAAATATCAATATCATTTCAGATGTTTTCGTGACAGTAACATCGCCAACGCTGGCACAAGGTGCACGGACGATTGTGTATTTTTTTTCTTACGTTGTTGATCAGTACGATGTTCTATTATTTGTTTCTGAAAATTTTACAGAGATACATATGACATTCTAAAAACGAAATAATGGTTATTTACTTGTTGTTCATTTAGATGGTGTTGTCGAAATTCGTTCTGAATTAAGTGTTCACAATAACAAGTTTTTATTAATTTTGATGATAAAGTTCTTTTCCTTGATTTACGCTTCTTATTTTCTAGTCATCAACGTTGGAGTTTAGCGTTTTTCACCAAGTGTTTGGGTGTTTGTGTTACCGAACTACTATCGTGTAAAAGGACAGAAGGTTCGGATTGGTAGAAATATTCATCTGATTCTAAAAAATACAAGCACACATGAATGTAAGATTAATTAAAATTTTTAGCAAATGTAATTACTCGTTTGATAAATGAAAGCCAGTTTGTCCCAGAATGCTTTGCTTTCTAGAGTTTTAGGCTTGATGAAATAGTTGGCTTTGTCGGGGTTTGATAGGACAATAGCAACCATCTTTGTGTTGATATCAAAGACGTCCTCCTTTCTATCTTTAACCTGGACAGTATTATAAAACATAGAAAAAGAAATATATAAATATTTTATGATAAGAAATATACTAACGGTATATTCGGCCTGGCCTGTTAATAATTGTTCCGACGGAGGATAACCTAGTTTTTGATAGTTTTTCCAGTCGATATCATCGAGGATCATGTAATCAGCATCGTTGTTCCAATTGTCGGGATCAAAGTGTCCAGAACAATAGTTATAGACACCGAATAAAGATTTCGCAAATGTGGTTTTTCCTGAGTTTTCGTAATAGAAAAGAAAATAAGTAAATCATATAGTTGAAGAATAATTTATATCATCTTTGTTTTTACATACCAACGCCTATTGGACCCTCCAATATGAAGACACGTGGCCGTCCTTCTTTCCTGAAATTTTGATCTATCCATCCTTGTACAACAATTCCTATTATGCATTATAAAAACAAATATATTCATAATGGAAACTCAGAAGTAATAAAGATACATACGAAAGAGAAACGTGCATTGTACGAATGAGTGACCCCAACAATAAGGCTTATCGTATTGGTTTGATTTTACTTTTTTATAGGTTGCTTGCTTGTTCGCGAAGACCAGAGCAGGTTTATATCTGTTCATTATAAGAAGAAAAATAAATAAATATGTAGAATATTTTCTTATTTTGTTAAATGAACAACAAAGTTATATTAAAATTGAAACAAACATATTTACCCCATTAAATGTTTTATGGAATGGCCAGGTTCCTTGTTCATTATATGTGTCAGGCCGTCATTGACACTGGTTCAACCTCGTCGAAAAGCAGTATTTGCTAGCTCGTCGGTCATAACATTGGCAGTGTTTTCTACGATAAAATAGAAATAAAGACAAGTTTTAGACTTTAATTTGTTCTTACTTATTGCCACTTTCACTTCTGGCCAATGTAGATCCTTAGGAGCCTTATCGGTGCTTTTGAATTTTTTATATTCGATGAAATCGAGCCCTAAATTCATTAACAATAATTACTTTGATTTCACATAAACATGTTTTTCTTTTAGCTTAAGATATTCTCAAAGTTCGTTTTCCTCTAACCTTTTTTCATGTATTCGTTCCACGCTCGGTCGGATCTTGTCACTTGGTATTTGCAACCACAAGCTATTTTTTTTTGAAAAATAAACAAAAAGTAGTATAATACTATGAAGTTGATTTTTAGAAAATAGTAGAAATGATACATACTCAGGATGTCCTTCAAGCAGGTATAGTTGGTATTGATTGCCTTGCTCAAGAATAATTGAATGTGAAGTCGTGGCGTTACCTGTTTGGCTTCATATTCATTAGCTATCAAAGCATAGGTTACTTGACGTTCTGTGGTGTTGAATTTTTTCTTAAGGGCAGTCAATACTACCTCTTCTACAAAAATACATAGATATAGTACGCATTCAATAAATATAAATCAAAAAAATAGATAATACTTGTGTTCTTTAAATATTAACTTACTTGAAATATTAACCCAACATGATATAGAAAACTTTGCGGCGTCAAGTCTCTTTGACCAATTTTGGTTTGTAGATAGCTCTTCTTGTTCTTTGAAATAGGGCAATTCAAAGTTTTTTTTGATTGCTAAAGCCTTACGGTCTAATTTCAAAAGAAAAATAAAATTATAAAGAGAAATCGATAAGTATTAATAAATAACTCGTATATCGTACAACTGACCTAAGTTACCATATTCAAAAAAAGGTAGATCGTGAGATTCCACCGGACCTGATCCAATAATAGGTGGATATGACGTTTTCCATGAAGCACCATTAAATTGAGTTGTGCCATTAAATCCGGCAATGAATGAGTCGATAGCTGTTGTATTGTTGAGATTTATTGCCATTTTTTATTGAATATAATTATAGTAAATATGTGTGTGCTTGTGTATCCAGGTCGAAGAGTACGGCCAGGAACTAACAAGATCCGGAGTCCAGAACCGTCGATCTGGGTAAGCCAATTCCAAAATCTAAAATGTATACCTTTAGATAGATAATTTCATTCAAACTATTACAGTCAAAAGATTTTTTCATTTGTTTAAAAAGGATAAAAACTTGCACAAATACTGAAAAAATACAATAAATTTCAGATTCAGATTCTTTGAGCTCGAAAAAAGTTACATTATTTCTTTATTTCTTTAAGAGTCCCCCCCCCAGATCAAAAATCTAGTTTTTTCCCAGAGCACTCAATCTTAGTGAAATTTTTACCGAATATGTATCTGACCTCTAATAGTCTTCAGTAAAAAGTTGAGCTCAAAATATTGAGTTTTCCAGGAGTTATCCTACCATTAGGGGTCAAAAAGTAAGTACTCGTAATTCAAAAATCTTTTTCCACAATTTTAATGATCTCGATCTCGGGATAGCGTCAAAATGTACAGAAACTTGAGGTTAACTTTTTAGAAAACTTGATTTTTTTTATATAGAACTAAGTTGAAAACAAAAATTTTGGCTTTGCTACGCTGTTACACTGAGCTCTAGCTTCATTTTAAAACCTTCTCAAGCTTTCTAGCATTCAAAATGGTTGGGAGACATTTGTAGTACTAACAGATAAAACATAAAAAACACTTTCGAAAAAAAATTTTCGAGCAGGTTTTTTAGAAAACCCACTGAAAATCCTCAAAAACCATCGTAAAACCGGTAAGTGATAGTCTATTCGAAAGTGTAGATGATGGGCTACCTAAATATGAATGAATCAGAAAATCGGAATTTTTAAAGAAAAATTTTTTTTCTGACCTCGGAGAGGGGGCCCTTAATAAGAAAATAACAGCATCTAACGAAACTATTGTAACCAATTGATTGCTTGAATTGTATCAATAATTGCTTTGATTATAGCAACTCACACCATGATCATATTTATTCTTATGATAATCTATCGTGGGAGTACTCTATCTATTTTTTTCTAGTAAGTATGTAACTACAATAGTTATTTTTTACTAGCAATTAGGTAGTTACTTTTAATTAGGGTGATATATTCACTTTACTTTGTAGTTATTCTACCTCAGTTACGTAAATAGAAAGTAAGGTAAATATGTTACTCTAACTAAAAATAGCTATCGTACATTACTTTACTTTAATTATGTAAACACAAAATAAAGTAAGTATGTCTCTTCTACTCAGGATAGTAATATAACATGATCTTGAAGAAAAAATTTGTCGCTCAAATATTTTGTAGTGATCATCTTCGTTGCTACTGTTCAGGCCTATGTCGTTCTAGAGACGCGCACCCCTCCCCTTACTTTAAGAATTTTTTAGTTTTATTTAACAAAATTTGTATGTTTTATTGCAAAAAAAGGCCATCAAACGAAAAACTATTCTGCACCCCTTCTCCACTTTTTTCTTTACGGCACATCCCTGCTACTGTTTGGTAATTATATCCAGTGAAAAGTTGGAGAGAATGAACGTAGTAGAAAACAACTAACCTTGAACTCGGCGATTATTAAACTGGACAGAAAGTAGAGAAATGAGCGTCCTATAGAAGAAAACAAAAAAATAAATTAACTGTGCCCGCAGAACGAAAGAAAAAAAGCACTCATCCCAGACGCTAAAGAAGAAAAGTGTTAGATAGTGAGCTGTTCTTCTTCTCTTATGATATATGTGATGAACTTTTCGTTTCCTATCATATATATACATATATATATATATACATATGATGGATTTTTCCTTTCGTCTCATATGTATATGTATCTGTATATATATATATATAGTGAGAGAGAGAGCATGTTACGGAAGTTCTGGTGATGTAGTTGTCAGTGTCACAGCTAATGATGATTCCTAATATGAATACTGGATTTTAAGATTTTAGGATATTTTAATCTTCTTGTTATTTTCTTTATTTTTTTGTTTTGATATGAAACTACGAGTTATATTTATGGATTCATGAACTAGGAGAAAAAACTATTTTTCAGATATTCAATTGATTTAGTTTTGGATTGATATATATTCAATATTGAGAAAGATTGTTCTGTTGCATGCTGATATCTTTTAATTAAAATATCTATTGAAAACAATTACTTTATATAATCTCTACTTTGATAACAATGGTGATTTATTTTAATAAATCTTTGAAATCAGAACAGAAATTCGTTATAGGGCTTGTTTATTAATATTCACTAGGATTTTATATATTCTTTATTTATTTGCTTTACAAGATTATTTATTAACCAAAAGAAATAAAATATTAGTTCTTTTGATATTAACGTCGTCGTCCAACTATTCCATGAGCATAAAGAGCCTTTTGAAGTTCAATTGGAATTGTACGTTTCTTATAACCTATTATACGCATTTGACCATATGGTAAATTGTAATTAGATGTTATTACTGAACGACCTGAACGACTATTGATATTCTCCAATAAGAATGAATCATGTGGTATTAGGATATGTTTGATTTCTTCGTTTTCATATTGATAATTTGATAAACCATCAATATTTTGTGTTGATGCATAAACAAGAAATAAAACTAATAAAACTATGGGACGTAAATATGAAGCAGAAATAGAGGTATTGAGCTAGAAATATTATTCATAAAAATAAATAATCAAAATAGATTTCTATTTATCTTACCTTGCTCATTTTGTAAAAAGTAATATAACAATATATTGCTGCTGTTAAAATCAGAATAGACTGGCATTTTACTACATATATATATATATGTACTGTCTCTAAGAGAAAGTAAGATCATCTTAGTTTTAACTTGAGAGAATATATCCATATAGTCTTACAATTTCAAATTTCATAATATACATGTTGTCTTTCTAATGGATTAAGACTATTAAGATACAATGACAAGTTCTTAATTTTCTGTTTTATTTTACAAAATGAGAGGATAGATCGAATGATATAATTAAAATGGTACGGGAATATTATCTCAGACTCCACCTACGTTCTTTTTACTATATTTGATCTGATGTATATATATAGATTATTAATAAAATATTTACAAACAAAAAAAAGAACATATTCAATAGATAAATATAAACTTGAAACAAAAAAAGAACGAAATTTATTTCTCTAATGATGACATAACAAATTGCATTGTTTATCTTTTTGACTCATAATTTATCGTATGACAACGATAAAAAAAAAGATAATACTGATAAAAACAAAAGTGCTTCTTTTCATTCACTCATTTTTGTTAATTTAGTAAACATGTTGTTTTATACTTTTTTTATTCTTTTACAATTAAATATAATTCATTCATATTGTACAACAAATTCATTATGTCAATTAAATGATAATTCAACAATACTCACATGTAATACTATGCTTAATGATACTAGTCTATTACCTGAAATATCATGTTTTCCATCTGTTAATACATATATATTTTATAATTTCGAACAACTTCCATCACATCTATTTTCAAATATAAAATTTTTACAAAATCAATTCTATACAATAAAATTAATAAATATATCAATAATAAATTCTGATACATTTTCAAATAGTATACAATTACCTGAAAATTCAAAATTATCAATTATAATTGGAGATTTAAATATATCATCCAATATTCAAATACAATCAAATACATTTAATAATATTAATATCGATTATTTACATTTTTTAAATCTTAATTATACAATATTTGATACAGATTGTTTTGGTCATAATCTCAATATAAATACTCTTATATTTGAACAATGTAATTTAACTAGTTTTTCAAATCATATACGAAAATTAATCAATGTAAATCATTTAGTAATTAAAAATTCTCCTGAATTAAAACAATTAACACAGGAAAATTTGCCATCATTTCTGCCAACATTAACATCATTTGAATTATCAAATACTGCGCTAGAAATAATTCATCCACATACATTTCAAGCATGGTCACTTATTCTCGAAGAATTTGTTATTACTAATAATACTAATTTAGAAATATTTCCTTCAGATATAGTTGATGGTGTATTAATGAAATTAAATAAACTTGATTTAAGTTATAATCCTATAAAATATCTTCATCCAAATTATAATTGGTTTCCATATAGTTATACAAAAAATTTATTATTAAAAAATCAACAATTGGATTTATTTCTTAAATCAAATATTTTAAAAACTTTACCATATTTAGAAAATATTGATTTATCTCATGGATTTATTAGTGAAAATTTAATGAAAAATTATTTTCCAAATATGTCAAATTTAATATCAATTGATGTTTCTTATACAAATTTAACTGAAAACATGATTATTGATTTACTTACACATTTAAGTCAAACAACAAATCATTTTATTGATATTTATTTACGTGGTCATATATTAAATGATGAAAATTTTTGTTCATATTTTAAAATATTTCAAAATGCACCAAATTTACTCAATCTTATATTAGATAATTCACATGAATGTAACTGTATTGTTGAATTATTCTATCGTGATAAATTACAAGATATTAATAATAATAGTTTATTAATACATCCAACATGTTTACTTGATTCTTCACGAAATCGTTGTGATATTCAAACACAATTAACTTTATCAAAATGTCCTACTAATGGTCATACAAATTCGGATGATACTATAGGAGATTATGCATTTGGTGGTGTTATTGCGGGAGTAATAGTTGCTTTATTATTATTATTATCACTTGGTTTTGGTGTTGTTCATAGAATTCGACAACGACGCAATACTGATCTTACTATGGAAAAACCTGTTGAAAATCCTTTAGCAGCAATCATTGAAGAACGTTTACAGAACGTATAACTATTTTTCTCGAACATATATATATATTGAATTCTTTTATGAGTGATAAAAGATGGCGCTTTAATCATTTCTAACTATTGGAGAAGAGAATTTTACTGACTATCTAACGATTAAATGAGAGATGAATCATGATTTGATGTTTTTAATCACATTATCATGGATATTATTTAGACAAAACATCAAAGGTTTGTTTGTTTTAAAAATTATAAACAGGACGAAATTATTAAATAATTTTTTTAAGAATAAATTGTCATTATTCGATTTATCGATTTATGAAATGATTTTTTTTTCTTATACATTTCATAAGTTCTGTACATTGACTAGTATTAACTTTTAAATGATAGACAATAATAGCTTATTGATGTATCTTTATAAAATTTGAGTAATCGAATACTTCTTCTCTCGTATGTGCACGTAGATAGATATAATGAGTTAATTAGTAAAGATTAAGTTGTACCATAGTCTTACATTCAACAAAAAAAGTATAAATTATGTATTATAGGTGCACATATATGGAAAAAAACATTGGTATCACTCCTTCTCTTAGGCTTCGAAGAAAATAATCAAATGTATTTTTTTTATAATTAATTGGGATATAAATTGGAAAATTAAGAAACATATAAAACCAATCAGCACTCAGTTCAAGATAATATCTTGTATTAAGATACGATACAATCTTTTGTGTACTGTTGCTTATTAACACTTACAAATCAAATGAACTTATCTAATTTGACCTCCTTTGTAGTACATGCACATACTAGTCTGATTGTATTTACTCTTGATTTAACACTAAACAGTCAATACGCAGGTCATACGCACTCTTTAATCAGAAAAAGAAGAAAGGTAAAGATTCTTTTTTTCTTGTCAACTCATTTGATAATAGAGAAGATTTTGAAAAAATCTTTTAAAAAGTAGTGTGATTAATACTGTCAATTGATGAAATATATGCATAATTGCAATACATAATTTATACTTTTTTTGTTGGATGTAAGACTATGATATAACTTAATTTTTACTAATTTATTCATTATATCTATTGTGATGCACATAACCACTTCCGATTATAATAAATCTACACCAGAGGCGGAATAACAGAGAAGGAAAGAGATATCAGTCTATCTTTAATAGATTATTTTCAGTTTGGTGTAATCGATTGTTCAAGTAGTATTGTTGAGTATGTTTTTATTTCTTGTGTATTGCTTGTACTATGAACATAGGTAGTTGATGTATATATTAGAAATCCTACTGTTACTTTTAATGCTTTGTTTTGTAATGTTTGGAGACGTTTTCGTACACTTTCTTTAACTATCAGAAAGATAATAGATCCGTAAGAAATAACCGAATGGATTCAGGCTCTTGCATTTTGCGACAGTAATAATTCAATATTAGTTAGTATTGATGATGATAATGCTCATGTATGAAATATTATTACTGATCTTTGTTTACATTGATTAGAAGTTAATATTCATTTTTATTTTTACTATAGAGTATATTACTTAGATTTTAAATGATTTATTTTGTTTTGTTCGATTATTATCAAATAATAATGCTATTTTGATTGGTATCCAATTGATCAACAAATATCTTCACAAGAATGTATACTGAAGTAACTAATATTATTATTGTAGTAAATGATACTATTTGACAATAAATGACTGTACTTGAAAAAATCAAAAGTATTCTTCCATTTTTTTCTTATTTTTCTTCACTCTGTACTTATGCAAATATCTACTGATAAAGGTAGTTATAACTCCCATGTGCTTCTTATTTGCATAGGAGATATTTTACGTTTATTTCAGATTCTCTACAAATATGAATGAATGCAGCGATGTTTAATATTTTCCGTTATTGCAGTCGTCTAAGATATCTTCTTCTTTGCAGACAATGTTTAATATCTGTATTTCTTCTATGTATCTTAGTATATGCTACATTTCGAGTAAAATTATCAAATGATTATAAAAATGCACAAGTATTTTATAAAACTCAACAATCTATATGTAACAATAATCTTAATCAAAATCAAAATAGAACGAAAATAATTCTTTTCTGGACTAAACTATTTAAAAGAAAAGCAGATGAAAATTATATCAACAATTATTTCTTTACATCATCCGGACGTTGCGGTACAAATCAATGTCGAGTAACAAATAATCGTGATGAATTATGTGCAAGTGATGCTATTATATTTCATGCACGCGGTCCAATTAATATGAATGATATGCCAACGAAACGTTTGCCTCATCAAAGATATGTTTTATTAATAAAAGAACCACCTTATAAAACAACAGCAATTGTTGGTCATTTAAATTATTTCTTTAATTGGACAGCAACAGTAAGTATTCGAAATGGTTGAAATATTTTCTCTATTTTATCTCATTTAGTATCGTACTGATTCGGATATTAATTATCAATATTTTTATTGGCGTCGAAAAGCTAAACCAACTAACGAAACAAGTCAAAAATCATATTTAAAAAATCGTCAAGCTCGTGCAGCATCAATGATTAGTAATTGTTATTCACAAAGTAATCGTGAAGGTTATCTTCAACGTCTTAATTCAATTATCCCAGTAACTCATGTAGGATATTGTTCAGGAACTAAATGTCATAAATCACGAGAAATTTGTCTTAGTCAATTAGCTGAAACACATCCATTTTATCTTTCATTTGAAAATTCTCTATGTCGTGATTATGCAACAGAAAAATATGCGAATGTTATAATTAATAATCAAATGATACCAATTATTTTTTCTCAAACTCCAAATCTCTACATTCCAAATTCATATATTGATGCAAATCAATTTTCATCACCGGAAGCTTTAGGTCAATTTCTTCGTCAACTTACTTTGAATACAACAATGTATGATAGTTATTTTAAATGGAAAGATGAATATGATCTTATTATACCAGGTCCGGATGATTATCTATGTGATTTATGTAAAAAATTAAATAATCCAAATGAACCATATAAAGTCTATGATAGTATGAAAAAATGGCTTTATAATGATGCAAAATGTCAACGATGGGTATCAAAATTAAATAAAACAATTGATATACCAGTTGATGAATCGATGGATTATGAAGAACCCTGGTTTTAAAATAATTATTTAGACAAGTCAAACTTCATTCTAGTTTTTTTTTTATATTTGTTTTTGTAATGTTTAAAAAAATTTATTAAAATTACAGTTTTTTTCTATGACGAAAAATGGTATCGAATAGAAGTTATTTGATCAAAATAATGTGAGTGTAATGGAGAAATAGAATACGTCCTTATTTTCTTTACAATGTATCAATAATTTGAATATGTTTACTCTGATAAATGAATGCATCTAATAACGTGAGATATCAAATGAAACTATAATCTTTTTATATATTAATGATGTTCGCATTTAATATAAAATGTTTTTTTCTTGCCATTAATTAACGTTGATAAATAAAGTTTCATATTTTGTATCGATATTATACTATTGTTAAATATTTGTGCATTCTTTTTGTTTTCTTAATCATAAATATACAGTATGTCACGTCGCTTTTTGTATAGAAAAATATTTTAAATCCTATAAATAGACGAAGAAAAGAACACCGTTTTCATGTCAGTAATATTATTCGTATATTTTTCTTTATTCATCACTGATCAGTTTTGTTTTGTTCGTATTCATATAATCATAATGATATATTACTGGTAGATATGAGGTATATGTCAACATTGTAAATTGTGTCAGGTCACGTCTGTAAACAAAAGCTTGTCATTTATTGCCTACGTGTATAAATCTAAGTCATACGTAACGAATAATATATGTCTTAGCAATGTGTTCTCAATATAAAACTAATTATAATCATCAGAATATAATATTTTTGATTAACAAAAAGGTAAGCTTCAATGTATACACCACATGACTGTCTTTTTTTTTTAGAATAAATAAGCAAATTAGAGAAATTTATATGTACGTTTTAATAATACATGAGAAATAAAAGATACTAGACAAAACAAAAATGATCAGTTATTCGTATAGTATGAATATCACACTTAGAGTATAATTTTGACAAGAAACAAACAACTTGATTGATCAAAATTTGAATTTGGGTAAGTAAAAGTTCTTTTCATTAATTATTCATTTGTATCTGATACAATTGTATTCGAAACATATTTTTTTCTAGGAATTGAATCAATAGATTTTATTAATTCTGATATCAAATCGATTTGATGAGACAAATATAATTTCAAAATTAACGAATGAAAATGTTACATACAATGACATGAACTGGATTGTACATTATGAGTGATATATTATTTACTTTATTTACCATCATTGCAGTTATAATAGTCTGTTCTACAAGAAAAAGATCATGAAGTATGTTATTTGAACAGATCATAAAATTATTTAGATAGTTGTTGAAGTTGAAAGTAAATTTCATATTTCGAATTCATTCACGTTGAATATTAAACTTTTTAATCTGATATAAAATATTCCGAACTACCAACTTACATTATTAGAATTTACCAAAAGAATAAATACTGATAGAAAGAAATCTAGACAAAATGTTCATTTTATTGAAATTATTTTTGAAAACAATAAAAAAATAATTCATGAAATTTAGTCTCTATTTTTTCTAGGTAATATATGATTAACAATAACAATTAAATGGGTATTACTATTCTAACGAATGATATCAACGATTTATTATATATCTATTGGCAAGTGGAGTTTAGAATAACGATAATTAATTAGATATTGCTGTTGCCAATTACAACATTGGTGATACGGCTGTATCCCTTAAATATGATAACAGAACGATTGCAATTTCAAAGACTTCAAATTAATAATGATAAACAACTAGATATAGTTATTATCAATCATGAACCTACTCATGAGTGAATGAACTTTTTATAATACAAGGAATATATTCTATTAGTTCTAAATTTCATTCACACTTCATAACGATTGCAGACATTTATTTATAAGAATAATTATCTGAATGTTATTGTTATACATTCAGAAAAT